AATTTCGTTTATTTCATACTAAACTATCAACATTTAAATAGAAAAATACACCTAATTATCTTCCCTGTAACAGCAAAGTACTCATTAAAATTAATATAATTTGAATAGAGATAAATCTGACAATTTTAAGGGAATATTTTTGTGGAAATCCAGCCAGGTAACTGGAAATTTACATAGTCTGCAGGTTTAATGCGGCAATACTATTTAGTTAAATAAGTTTTGCCTAAAACAGTTCATTTCTTCCAAAAGCCATGGGTTATTGGTGGCAATGTTCACCGTTCAGTTGCTGCTACAGATTTTTAATTTAGTATTCCATTGAACGTAGTGAAATAATGTTTTTTCAGTCTAAATGTTTTACAAAATTGATGTATTCTCGGGCTGAATTGATTTTTTACATTTTGTTTTTAAACATACAGTCATATCGATCACGCCTCTCCAATGTTCGGATCCAGATCTTGCACGTTTCCCACTTCAGTCCTCGCTATACACGTTTAATTAGGAACATGACCGGTTCACTGGAAGTTGCACAAGGTTGACAACCGGTTGATGACTCAAGCAATTGTCTGGCCAGAAGTCTTCTTTATTACTCATCTACAAAGTTAGCCCAATTAAGCTATATCTGGGTTAGCGGTTTGCTCTTTAATGAGTACAGAGAGAAATTTTAATTGGGCGGAAAACACGGGTGACCTTTTATGGCTGATAAGTGAATTCAGTGAAACAGATTATCGACCAAACTTATTGCATTCTTCATGTTAGTGTGTGAAGCTGTAGTTAGGCGCAAGACATCGCTACCTTGGTTTAAAGTTTTTTAAGCTCCCGAATCACCAAAAATTGGCGTTTATTGGTGCTTTGATGCTTTAGACAATAAATATATTCGTTTGATTACTATGATACAAACTCCATTCACATAAATAAATTGTACTATTCGTCAACACTTTGTTTCATACTTTTTAATGAAAATGACAGTTTTGTATAAAGATTTACACCTAAAAGGTCTATGATGTGAAAAGTGGAACAAATAAACGCAAATGTGAAATTACAAAATTGTATCTTACATAATCCATTTACAGTATGTAACTAAAGCTATCTTTACACTGGGGAAGACAAAAGTAAAATAGGCCAGATGCATAATCTAGATGTGCGGAACCACACCAGATGCCCATGTAAATATCAAACGAAGCCATCTTAAACATTTGTCCTACAGCAAAATTGATTACCTAGAGTCTATAAGTTATGGGTTCTACCGTATTCTAAAAAATATAAAATCCTGTCATGAACTTAGATTAAAAAACTATGTAAAACTATATAAGGAATTAGTATCTATATTAGTCATCTTGCTTTGTATTGAGGGTATGGCACTAGTGATAAACTATAGTTAATTGAAAATATATGTGGCCTGTGTCAATAGTTTTGGAATCTATAAAAGGTAACGGAATTGATTTGCATGAGCCTTCTAGCCTAACTATTTATTTAAAGCAAGTTACTGCTGCTTTATCTGATGTGGAGTCATAGTAATCAGTTTTAATAATTTCTTATGCATATATTCTTGGTTGGAGAAATATCCCTCGTCATCCACCTGTAATATGAAATGTTATAATTACTGTATCGTTATTGGAAGGCACGTTTATTTGGTACACAAGTCACTGCCACAGGCTAGAAGCAGTATTCACACAGGGTGTAGTGCTTTAGTGGTTATTACCAAGAATAAATTAGTAAAATAATCTTTTGGTATTCGTTGTAACGCTGTAATCCTTGCCTATAGACTCGGGTTCAACGGTGTTTAATTGTATGATAATGCCACGATCCAACTAATCAGGTTTAAGCAGTAGGTTTATGTTGAAAAAATTGAATAAGTCTCTTAAACAAACATAAGTTTCTCTGTATTGAAAAAACCCCTCTACTTAAAGACTCATGACATTAATAATAGCGTTAACATAATATTTCCAAACTAAGACAATCAAATGCACGGGACGTCAAGAGACAACCACAGGTAAGCTTATTCTCAAATGTGCCTCTTACTCTAAAGACAAAATTGCACAACAAATTTATCTGTCCCATCTTAGTTACGATCAGATCAACCTTGTCATCCAGGAAGGTGTAAGTCCCGGAAGGGGAAAATCGTTTGACAACACAAAAGACCCGAGGACAGGCACCAATCTGAGGCTTCGACGACAAAATGGACTTTAAATGGAGCAACGTGCGTGCTGCAATGTGGGACACCGGCTAAACGGCCCAGCACGGTTGCCTCATATGTTAAATTGGTAGATTTATGTAATGTTTGCAACTACTTGTTCTGTAAACAGTTTAAGTTTAAAATACCTGTAAATATAATAATAACCAAACTGGTGTTAGGTAAGGCGTGATACATTTATGTAGAGACAATTTTAATATTTTATAACCTTGCATGCAAAACGTTGAGTTGACGAGTCACTTGAGTCGAGCTTTTGGTCACCCAAGTACGGATACACTTTGGGTCCAATGTCTAAAAAACTTTAATGGCTAGCAAATAATTAAATAGTTAAATGATAATTTATACTTATTTAGTTGGTATATAATAAGCTAGTTGTATGTTGTTCAAAACAATCGTCACGCTTAAGATGACGGATTCTGTAAGTACAATTGGATCAGCTTCAACACATCGTAGTAGAGATGTACGAGTTTTAATCACTTGTACAGTATAATGGTTCCAATATCTAATTACAATATAACTTAACAACTACTCCCACGACACAATTGATTAAATCCACACTATTATAGTGTTTTAAAACATTAAACCATACCTGATGTATACAGTGTGTAAATTAAGTATCGAAACAAATCTGTATTTTTTAATCGAATTTGTATAGAAATATTCTGTTTGTTGCATTGGTTGTTAACAAAGGTTCCGCAATTTTTTACATAAAAAATTGTTTAACCCCCCCTAACAGGGTAGGGGGTAAGGGGTTACTTATTTTTTCTAAATATCAACCCCTGTTTAGTAGCCCCTTATTTTAAAGGGTTTGTCAAAAGAAACACAATGACGCAAACCCGAGGTGAATATCTCACCCTTAGCCGAATTGGCGGGAATTCCAAAATAAGCGCTTTTTCACATTAAAATCAAATTTTGAATTACCTACCATTTAGGCTAGGGGTGACATATCTACCTCAGTTTTTCATCTTTGTATTTATTTTGGAAAACCCTTTAAAATGAGTGAGGGGTCACTAAATAGGGGTTGTTATTTTAAAAAAGAAGTCACCTCCTACCCTGTCAGGGGAATTTAACAATTTTTTAATGTAAAAATTGCGGAACCTTTGTTAACAATCAATGCCACAAACAGAATATTTCTATCTATTTCGGTTTATAAAATACAGATTTGTTTCAATACTTAATTTACACACTGTATAAAAGCCAAGCCCAATATCAAATTTCTCCGGTGTCCAAATTTACACAATCCCACGCATAACATTGAGTTACAACACTTTTTAACCACCAACTTCTCCGCAATAAATATAAACTGAAGAGGTTTTCAGTGTAACCGTCCGGTACAAGTTGTGGTTGTGTTGTATGATGGGGCGAAAGTAGCAAGTCCCAGACCGGACACAACAGTTACTGTGTATGTCGACGACTAACGCCTGTGTAATGGTACAAGAGTGGCAAGTGAGGAAAGCTGAAACCTGAAACGTTAAACTACGTAATAGATAGTGTTATGCAAGTGCTTTAGATAATCATGGTTCCTTACTTACGAATTATCCTTTTAGCCTATAAACAACTGTTAAAGTTATCCGTGCATTGAAGCTTAACATCTCCATAGGACAGAGGCATGTGCCTACACTATGTTTGCGTACTCTAGTGTAACTAACTAGCTGTAAAGAACTACTTAACAGATCGTCTTTGAAGAATTCAGGAAGATGAACTGTGTTTTGTTTGTTTAGCTAGGACCATTTATTACAAACTCAATAATAAACCAATTAATTGCAAAAAACAAGGTCCCGTTTAGTTCCTGACGTTAAAGGAAGGAAGTTGTTTATAGATACCATGGGTTACCGAAATAACAATAACGTAAGGAACATATATTCAATAACATATTTAAGATAAATTACAGTTTTCCTTTACAAAATAATATTATTAAGTTTATTGTAAGTGATAATGACTAAAAATCTTCCAAATTCTACAATGTCAAGTACTTACATAGTGATTCAAACGTTTGCAGGACAAAGTTCTGAAAAACACAATTTGAAGCTAAAAACGTACACACATTAGTGCTACCCTGATTGAAAACTACAAAAAAATTGTTTGCTTTGTTTGGATTATATCTTTTAACAAACTAGTAAAAAAAAGTATTCATAAAACTAGATATTCACGCTTTTCATCATTACTTTATACTATACAGGGTGTTTCGAGACTATCTCCCGAAACTCCGTGGTCATATTCCTTAGATCAAAACAAACCAAAAATGTCATGTGCCCTATCTCGCTTTGTTTTCCGTCTGTCGGTGTGTATGTATTTTTTACATAACTTCCCATATCTTTGGAACCGCTTGAGGTACCAACTTCAAACTAGGTACGTGTATGATGACTAATAGGAACTATTCTTTTGCAAGGCATCAAGTTTCTACTTTATATAATTTCAAAATGGCGGCCATTTTAATTTTTTAAAGCTCGATAACTAAAAAACCATACGATTTATAAAAAGGTTACAAATGACAAAACGTATGGAAATTTAATTCCCTTTAAATAAATTTACAATTTGTATAGTATCATAACACAAATAAGGGGAGAAAATGGTTCATGCTTCGTGGTTTTACTATGTTTTATATATCTATATAAAAGGTATATTAAAATCTCAAAATGCTTACTCCTGTTTCCCTTTCCCTCAAGGTGTGGTACGACTACTTCAGGTTTCCACATCCGGTTGTCGCAGAAAGTGTGAGTTGCCGGGAAGATGCTGCCCCCCCCCCGCCCGCGGCAGACAGTTGTTCGTGTGTTCGTCTGTCTGTGCAGCGCGCTCAGTGTCAGTTTGTGTGTGCACGCGTTCGGTGCGCAACGTGCGTTATTGTGGATATAACATCACTCGGGTGAGTTAACAATTTTCTTTCACAAAGAATAATCAAATGTTGGTTTATTTGAATGTTATTAATGGATTGGTATTAATGGTGTTAAAAATGGTACATAGAAAAATACATCAAGTAAAAATTGTATAATTACTATCACTTTAATATAAAAACATAAATATAAAGTATTCAGGAGCAATGCAGGTACACTGTATTTGAATTTGTTGCTTTTACATCATTATGGTTGTATTTATATTTTTAACATATTTAAAATATTAAACAAGTATCACATTTCTGTATACGAGTTGTGTGTATTCAGCTCGTATATCCATATTATCCACTCTTATATTAAATTGTATTTTTTTCTTTAAAATTATGAAACTAGAGTACTAAATTATTTCCATATATGAGAATTTTAAGTGTACAGTAAGTTTAGTATTTACTGGCATACGAGTATACGATTTAAGAAGTGACCTTATTAAAATAAACTTGTGCACATTAACATAATGACCTGTGAAACAATGGTAATGACAATATAGTAGCATACAAAATATAGATACGAAATCCTCCAAATAATTTACAATAGACTGTATTTTTATTTTAAATGGTTTCAATTGCCTTGAGTAATGGAAACTAGAACGCTGTTTGTGTAAACGTTAGGGTAATGAATTCGAGAGGTTAAAATGAAAAGAAATTGTAAATTGGCCTTTTTATTTAACAGATTGAAAACACAAGAATAAAAATAAAACAATTCAAGTAAATATAACTATGCCTAAACTAATTTATTTTACCGTGTATTCGTTACTGTATTGTTCATATTAAATCGATGCGCCAAATTTTGGACTATTTCTTATTAAGTTGTTTCATTTATACTTTTACTGGACTTTAAATTAAACAATGTTTTTTAATAAACTAAATAAATATAAAAGCAATATTTCAGTATTTCAATTTTGTATTCATTGACAGTGTGAATAAAAATAAACGGTTTTTCAAAATCATACAGAGCACCCACTCCACTCTTGGAAATGTGGCTTAATTGCATAGATTTACATTTAATTTACAGTTAAAATTTGTACTTGTAAATATTCGAATCCAATACTACAACTTTTTTAAGTCTCACTTTTAAAAGTCATATTATTAATTTTGAAATGCATTTATTTCATACTATACAGGGTTAGTAAAAAGTCTGGAGACCCCCCCTTAATCTTTTAACGGCCCATACTAAAAAAACTAAACTCGGCACAACTTTATGGCATGTTATGAAGTACTTTTTGGGCATAACTGCCACTTGGTGTATATCCCCAAAATGGGGGATTTTGGGGGAAACTCAAAAATTTCAAATGGTAAGACCCATCGAGTGACCCCTCATTTTGGAGGCCCTAGTAAAAGAAAAAAAACAACGCAAACTAGAGGTATCTATCTCAATCCAATAAAACATGGCAGCCAATTGAAATTCTCAGAAGTGAAATTTAACTTACAGCTTTTTAAGTCTGGAGACCCCCTGTAAATTTTGTAACGGCTCACACTAGATAAATTAAGCTCTCCACACATTAATGGTATGTTATTAAGTACTTTTTGGGCATAACCACCACTTTGTGTATTTCCCCAAAATGGGGGATTTTAGGGGAAACTCAAAATTATACAATGTTAAGCACCATCGAGTGACCCCTCATTTTGAGGGCCGTGATAAAATAAAACTAACAACGCAAACTAGAGGTCTCTATCTTAACCCAGTAAAATATTGCAGTCAATTAAAATCTTTAGAATTCAGAATTGATTTACAATTAAAAATCTAAGGAATTCAATTGACTGCCATATTTTACTGGGTTAAGATAGAGACCTCTAGTTTGCGTTGTTGGTTTTTTTTTACCAGGACCTTTAAAATGAGGGGTCACTCAATGGGTCTTACAATTTGAAATTTTTGATTTTCCCCCAAAATCCCCCATTTTGGGGATATACACCAAGCGGCGGTTATGCCCAAAAAGTACTTCATAACATGCCATAAAGTTGTGCCGAGTTTAGTTTTTCTAGTATGGGCCGTTAAAAAATTAACAGGGGGTCTCCAGACTTTTTACTAACCCTGTATATACAATAATATGCGATACAGTATGCTAATTAATTTTGTTAAGGGTTTGTGTATCTGAAAAAAGAGCTCATCAAAAGAAACAAAACTTTATAGGGATGTTGTTTTACAGTTTTATCATAAATAATACCATCAAAATCTCGATGACCATATTGCCGATTGATTTAACACACACCCTCGCAGATATACCGCCTGTCCAGTCTATTTCCTCGGTGCTGTTGTGTTTTTTTGTGCCATTTCGCTAGGTTTTACACTATTGCATAAGATAAGAGCGATTTAAAACTGTTTATTCTTTAGTAGTCGTAGTTTATTCTTTTGTATTGTTGCAAAAGAATAAAACGCACGCCATGAAATTTACCCGGAAAAACTGTAAGAGTACAATATATAGTTGACACCAGCACACTCAAGCATCCCACAAAAACTTCAGACTTTACAAAAGGATGAGAAGCCAAAGTCAATTATATTGCGAAGACATTGAAATGATTGATCATTTCATAACTTTCTCAATCCAATGTACCACAAATAGCTTCCTTGTCAATTATGGAAACGATAAGGAAAGTGAAATCAGTGTTTACCAACATATGGACATGTGACCACGTGATTGGCTTCTCAGGAAATCCGCTTGGAATATCCCGACGAAAGTGGATTCTCAATGAGTGACTGAGTCGAGAACTTTCGTTGCTGACGAAACTGTTGTAAATAGACTTCGGTGGTTGTCCGCACGATCGTGAGATTTTCAGGTGGATTTTCAGCCTCGATGAAGGTGTAGAACTACTAAAATTACATGAACTAATGTAACTGCTTTTTACTACGCCACGCCAGTAGTATTACATGAAAATGGGGCAACCAATGCGTCAAGGAAAATGGTCCAAACTCGCGATATTTTATATACCATCTATAGAACTAGTCACTCAACCTCCCCCCCCCCTAATTGACTTAATATTTTGTTACTGCATTAGTTTATTACATAGGTATACTCAAAATATTAATATAAGTAATTATTTAGTGATTGACTCGATTAACTATTATTGGATGAACTATCGTCACAGCAATCGCGCAGTTTTGTGTTACTACATAATTATGTTGCAGATCATCTGTAATGATTCTGTATGATTTCATACGAAAAAGGATAGCAACAGCATTGACTACAAACTATGTTTAATTGTAATAAATAATGGGCTAAGTAAAAGTCATAGATAAAGAGTTTCTTATTTTTCTTCTTGTCAGCATTTATTTTCTGGTTCGTAAAAATCCCATAAGAAAATTAAAATTTTATGAATGCAGTAGGTAAACAATCCGCACTAACTGGGTATAGCAGTTTTATTTAGAAATTTAATTGCACTTTTTTACGTTATCTTATAACCGACTTTAAACTTCGGAATATAAAATCAAATAACCCAAAAACAGTCTCTATGTTTGACGTACATCCTTCGACTTTTGAGGGAAAATAATTATATCTCAGGTTCACCATTGTTAACTTCCTAAACAGCTGACTGTGTATTTACAAAGATGATGTAAACCACAAAAATATAGGCTACCTTCATGAGTTTCATCTCGTACTTTGCGGGGTAAAATAAAAGTAATTGTAATAGCAGAATAAAGAGAGAAACATTTGAGCGAATTTCTCATATTCGAAATAAGCTATTGCCGTAGGTCCCATGGACCTAGACCCGAGACCGATTTACTCTTTCGTTATGTGGTTCACCATCCGTTCCGACTATGGAAACGGGGTATAAGGAGTGTTTTATGGAGTAACAACTAATTATTTTTTATTTCGACCCTCAAAACATTAATTATTTTTTGCGATTTCTATTTGACTATTTTTGGGAGCTTATAAATGTGATTTTATGTATATTTAGCCATTGTTGTACCCATAACAAATACGGAGAAATAAAAAAAATATTGTAGGGTATGTTATTCTATAGAGAATAAATAAACAATTTTAGTTTGCTTGTTTATGTATTTTTTTTTTCAAACTACACAAATTTATTTGTTTCACACTAAGTTATGAATATTTCACAAAACAAAATAACTCTGCATTACTTCCCCTACAGCAAAAACACTTTGAACTGAATAAACCTAATGTTATTAAAAAAGGGGGAAAATCTGACATTTAAATAAATATTTGAGTGAAATTCTAATCAGGTAAATATAAACTCGCATAATCTGCAGGTTTGCTGCGGAAAGGGTATTTTATGTTACCTCTTATAGACTAAACCATAGACCTTATTAATTTTATTATGAGCTCTATGGACTAAACACTACTTTATTTTTTGACAAATTTTAAATATAAATGAGTTTTGTCTTTGGCGAAATATCGAACTGTAAAGTGGAGGAAACGTCTGATTATCAGTTGTTATGTTAGTCTGGGCTGGATTGCTCGGACGGACGGAGGCTGCAAGTGATGGGAACACTGTAATTGTTGATTGTTTCATATAATGATCTCTGCCGTCTCACCTTTCTCTAGCCGGAACTGTAGACTCTCGCAGGCTGAAAACTTAACTCTATGCAACAAAGCAATTAATCAAATATACTAATATAACACGTATGTTTGGGATACAATTGTACGACGACGACAACACTGGACAATAGAGACAACTTAGATAAACAATAACAAACTACTGTACGACGAAATTTCCGTTTAGATAGGTTTTAGAGGAGTTGTATTTAATTAAATTTTAAATATTGATAATAAGCAGATTTTACGTTTGTTTTAATTTATAACTGTTTGTTTACTTTCTTTAGTTAACTTGATATTATTAATTTCCCATTTCGACATATATATGGGAAGCCGTATGCTATGCCGATAATCTATCAACCGCATACTTGAATGAAATGTATTGATGTGAAACTAACCGGAAAAATATAAAGCCACCTCTCCCCCAATTGAACATTATTGTGATGTATTGTTGGGTGTTGGTTTGATGGATCTCCTAAGGGC